AGAAATTGGAAGAAGCGGAAAAGAACCAAAGGAGGTTCTCAATTACAATTGACTCCTTACTTTTCAGATAGTATCAGAAAATCAAGAGTGCGCAGCAGATGCTTCTCACATCCATATGCAAAGCTTAAAGCACTCCTTATTGCTGAGATGATAGACAAAGGATAAAAGTCTATGGAGGAGGCTTTCACACAAGAATGATAAAGCTTCATAGATTGGACAATGAGACTTGAATTGGAGCAAGTTCTCATTCTCATCCGGACTGAATCAGATCTCCAGAAGTCAAGCTAATGACTAAAAATAAGCGCTGAGTGGGAGGCAACCCACTGTTAGTTTTGTTAGGTAACAAGAACATACAAGAGAAAGATGAGTTTAACTAAGAATGGACGAGTTCTGCACCAGCATCGACCGACACTTGATCAATGTCGCTCGACAGAGCATCACAAGTTTTGATCACCACTTAACTGTGTTGATCGATACTCACATCAATGGCAGGTATACTCGCGAAACTTTGTTAAATATTTTCCTTATGGTTTATTGTCCCACCAATCTTAGGCTGTATAACATTAGTTACAGTGTTATTTAAGTCTGGGGGGGGGGGTTCTACTAGTACTGTGTGTTTAGTTAGCTATTTAGAAAAGCAGACCAAAGTAGATGATTACCATTCTAATCGACCGATACGAACCAGTCGATATCGCTCGACACATACATACACGCATCGGTCGACGATGCCGACTCACCATCGATCGATATCCATATTGGTCAGGTATATCATTCACATTTTCGATATCAGTTACACAATTATTGTGTTTTATGCTCTAACTCCGACTAGTTATACACTGAGGACAGTGTATGATTTAAGTCTGGGGGAGTGGAATTACTGATGCTACTTTACCTCTTTTTGATCTTATTAAAAGTTTTCACAAAATTGGTTTTATTGAGTTAAGAAAGGGAAAAATTTTCAAAGTCTTACTTTTTATCTTAACACTCTTTAGCACCATTCTTAGATTTGTTGATTGCAGAAAGTACTATAGATACTAAAGTGGATCACCGGTCATCCTATGACAACACTTTCATGATTGTTTGGAAGAACCAAAGCTGATTTCCAACCTAACCTGACATCTACTGGTTGTCTTGGGGCTTGGTATACAAGGGATCGGAATCCTCCTGCAAGTCTGGAAGGTAAAAGTCTCAAAATTTTTGGTTTCCTTCTCTCCTTCCTTTGGCATCCCTAGAAAATAAAAGATTGAGATGATTTCCTGAGAGGCAGAGGGAGAGGTACATTACCCATGACCCCACTATTCTAAATCAAAGGGATGATCACACATTGTGGAAGCGAGGGAGAGGTACATTACCTATGACCCCACTATTCGGCTACACTTTGTCAAAAGAGCTACAAAAAGTAGAAAGATCAATAAGATGAACATTAGTTGTTCATTGTGATTGATATAAAAGAAAGAAAGAAAGAATTGGGATTCAGAAAAGGAGGGATAAAGAGAGAAAGGGAACCAGGATGAGAATGCCTGAAACTTGTTTGAGTTGAATCCAAGTGTTCCTTGATCGATACTCCCAAGGTAAAGCCTACACCTTTATTTTTATGCATAAATGAAATCAGTAGAGGGGATAGACAGACAAGGAATGTTTAAGTAGTATAATGTACTTCTGTAGTTGATAGATATGAGATGTGGCTTGCAACAAAGTAGAGGTGATGATTTTAAAGTTGAGATTCTGATTGAGCCCCTGCTGTTTTTTTTAAACTTCTTTCAAAGACTAACTTAAAGTTTGCTTGAGGACAAGCAAAAGGTTAAGTCTGGGGGGATGATATACCATGATTTAGACCCACTTTTAGTCATGGTATTGATGTGTTTTTATGATAATTATATATGTTTTGGAGTCTATTTAGAGTATTTACAGGTTCAGGTACGTCCTGGAGAAATATGGTGATTTTGGTGTCTTTTGGAGCCTTAAAGTGCAGAACTGCGCAGACGCGTCAGATGTTTAGATATGGATGGAGACCTTCCCATGGTGCGATTTAGCCCATCGTTTGACACAAGATATAGCTTTGAGTTAGCTTTCCAATTACACCGGTTTGAGGTCAATCCAACGGTTAGATCAGAAGTTATACCCGTTTTACTGAAGAGTGGTCAGTCTGCCTCGCGAGAAAAGGCTGTCGAGAAGATATGTGCATGTCGATCGATGGGAGACACCTCATATCGGTCGATATGAATGCCAAAACGTGGGCTGACTATATTTCATAACCGACTGAAGCCCACAAGTTACCATAATACTCTTGGACGACCAGAAACCCTAGTTATGATATTTATTAGCCATTGTTGACGGCTACAAGCGATCAAAGCTTTTCTAAATTCTTTTCTATTGTCTCTCTTAGTTAGGAGAGAAGGGAGGAACTCTTATCAGAGTCCTCCTGGAACTCCATTGGTTTTATATATATTCTATTTCATTTTTATATCTATTCCTCTATGATTTCTATGCAAAACTTCATATCTGAATAGATCCACCTGTTGGATTTAGGGTTCAGATAGATTGTGGGATTAGCTCCAACTATAGATTGCTAAGTTGTGATATTCATTGTTAGGATGTTCTTAATGCTTGTTTCTAGAGTCATGAACTAGAACCATGAACTGAAATAGTTTAATTTATTAATCTTCATCCTGACATCATCCTCTACAAACTCAGACTCTATTAGGCACGATGCGACAGCCGGTCTAATATAAATTCTCGAGTGAACACAGTTTCGATTCGATCTGATGCTATATCGATCGATATTCCTATAGAGTCATTGATCGATGGCAACACATATCGACCGACACTGCGATAGCAACATAGGTCGATACTGTCGGCATTCAGATCAAGGGACGAGTCTAACTAGCGATAGCTATATATTTGTCTAAGAATTGAAGTTCTTATATATCATGCATGCAACTTGTTAGGCATCTATAGCATTATAATCCTGATTACCTGAATAGAAACCCTAGATCTAGCAACCATCCTTCCATCCAACAACTCCTTGCCAAGCTGAACAATTAATCTTGTTCAACTTGTTTATTACTTTATTTATTTACTGCATAATTACCTATTAGCCTAGCTTAATCTTATAACTATTAGATCTATTAGGTTCCCTAGCTCCCCGTGAATTCGATCCCTAAGTACTACAATTGAACCTCTTATTTGAGAGAGTAATTCACTCCTTAGGGTTAAACATTTGAGTGATATCACTAATCAACCAAAAGGATCTGGACAGAAACATATGGATAGCTCAAAGTGCACCACACGAGAGATGAAAGGCTCGTGATACAACACAGGTTTCCTCAAGGCCATGGAGGTACTGGTCTAACAAGGCAAAGAGGAGACGAGTTCTTTCTTGAGAGCTCTAGGGTTTTCGTTAGAAGAAAAGTTTATGTTTATAGATTGCGTAAATAATACAAACTGCTTATTGGTAACTTATATAAACATCCAATGCAGTGGTGCCTTCTAGGGACTTTGAACCAAATAATTCACAATTTTGGTATTGAAAAGAAGGCGTGCAAGCCAACTAGAAAAATAAAAAGATATAAAAGGACTAAAAAGAAAAGAAACAAGCTGCAAAAAAAAACAATCAAACTATTAGAACTAAGAAGTCAAATGCTTACCTTTACTTACCTTTCTGGCTGGTTTGATTGACTTTGGTATTGGCTAGACAGACTGGTCTTCTAGGTTGATGACCAGCAGGTTGCTGTGGGCTTGATCAGGAATGAAAGGCCAAAGATTTTCACTTGAGGTCTTGGTCTTCTCGTTTGGTCCATCACTCTTCCAACCTGGGTCTTGAGTCGTTAAGCAGCTTGGATTGTCATCCCCTTGTTCAACAGTTGATTTAACCCGTCCATGATCATAGGCAAGCATCATACTCTCCTCAAACTTGTGTTGAGTACCTTAGCCCTTTGCCTAGTGATGGGTCCTTCAAACACAGTCGGCATTGAAACTTCTTGAGTGGTTTCTGGTTGGATTGCTTTGGTGATCATGTCTTGGATGTCTGGTTCGGTTAGGTTTGGTTCTGCTTCAGCTTGAATGTCCTCATCACTTCGTTTACGTTACTCTCAACCCAAAATTTTTCATTATTTACTCAAAAAGCCATTTATAAATAACGGGTGTTGTATTTTCTACCGCAGTTACGGAAGAAAGAATATAAGATTATTCAAATTGAATATGTATGTTGTGATCAGACTCAAGGAAAATGACGTAACCCAAGAGAAATATAATTTAAAAAGAAAACATGAATAACAAATACATCATAAGAAAAATTAGAAATTGGAAGCACAAACAATTGAGACCTCGATCTGAGATCATCTTAAACTGTATTATTACTACATCCTCTCTTATTATAAACATGGCAAGTCTTCGCAAGAACAACACATGTTTTAAACCTTTACCGACTATCGATACGAATTTCACTTAACGTGGTACGTCTTTCTTACAAAGGCCTAGTATGCCGTCCTTTTGCCCGACCACACAGACGCGAGTTTTTTGGGATAGGGTACTCGTCTCTCAAGGACGTCGATGTTGGAAAGACACGCAAGTAGAACTTGATAAGTTTCTTGAGCTTCCAACTTAAAACCAATTGACAATTAGTGGATTGGTCCAAGTATCTTATATATTACTGTCCCTGACATATTTCTAATGTGTGATATTTATCCTAACACCCTCCTTCTAGATAATGGTGGATCTAACTATTAATCTCCCAGAATCTATCATACCCCTACCGAGATAATGCTTTTTCGTCTAGAAATCTCGATAGAACTGAGCCTTCTCTGGGCCATCAGCTAATGGATTGATCGGGCCACTTTTCGGGCCGGATTAATGGGACATGGTGTGGGCCCGCTCTGATACAATGATAAGTTTTTTGGGCTTCTAACTTAAAACCAAATGAAAATTGTTGGATTGGTCCAAGTCTCTTATATATTACTCAAGTCCCTGACATATTTCAAATGTGGGCTATTTATCCCAACAGAGATGTTGTCCCAAATACTGTCTTGCCCAAAACTCAAACCATAGGTTCCACAGTCCCACGTTGTCCAAAGCAATGTAAATGGCTGTCCATGATTTTGGGTACACCTGAATCCCAAATATATGTCATGTTCTTAACTAGAACAAGAGAAGAAAATAATGTGCTAGATTGAGGAAGAAGAGGCAAGAAGAATGCCTCACTTGGACAGTTCAAGGGAAACTGCATCACGTAAGTTGCACCCATTTCTGCTCCCTGTGTTCCAATGTCCACCATCCATCTTGTATTTTTCCGGTCAAAACACATTTAGACAAACTTAAGCTGATAAAAAGAAAGAAACTACTAAATAAAAAGGTGTGAAGATAAATATACCAACAACCCATAAGGACTAACCATTGAGATGATAACTTTGAACGATATCCTCTTTGTTCTCTCTTTGTTCTCGAATACAATCTTGATGAACGTTCGATAGTCGACTTGCAAAACAGAGGTGTCAAGGTATATACCTCCACCTGTGGGTTTGTCCGAGATGCTATTGATCTTATAAACCCCGTTTATCTTAAAGAAATCTGCAAGTTAGAGGTGTATCCGCAGGCACAAATGAGACACTATTGATACCGTATGTTTGCTTCCCATTTATCTGCCCCGCAGAGCTACCAAACACAATAGTCAGTGATATTAGACCATAATGATATGATCCTTGTGGGTTGGGTCTTGGTCCACTAGCTTTCAAGTTGGTTCTACGAAAAACATAATCATTAGATCTTTATAATTCACTATGGAGCTTAAAACGCATAGTTACCTATGCAAAAAAGAGTACCTGATGGCACGTGCTTGGTTAAAGGACCAATCAATTTCAATGGTGGGACCACCAGGAATTGGACCAGAAGCTGAAGTAGACGAGCCACTGCATCGGAGAATGCCGGTGATTGTTATGATCTTATTGGTGAACCTAGAGGAAGCAACGCCGTAGTAGTCACGAGGAGATTGGTCAGCAGTAATGAGAACAAAATAGGGCTGGCCAACATGATCGTCAAGTGAGGAAAACATGGTTTGCATTGTGTCCGTCCCTTCGACTTCCACGAGCTTCATCCTATGGTTTTGGATTCTGAAGTTTAGAGAATTTTGTAATCCAACGTTTGATATCCTAAACCTGTATGTTTTTCCTATACATCCACAAAAGGAAGGATATTAATAAACGTGTTTTTTAAACACTATTAATAAACCTGTTTTTTAGACTAAAAATATAGGAAATAAACGTGTTTAACTACCAAAATATAGGAAATAGAGATCACGTGCCGCATACCTTGCTCAACGTTTAATGTAGCACCTTTGCTTCGGCCATTGATAAGAATACCATCAGGCGAGGGTAACCTCCTTCCTCTATCAAGACGAGCCTTCAAATCCTGAGGAATATACAAATATTAAGATGTGTTTAAAAAAAATACAAATATTAAGATAATTTTTATTATTTGTATAAGCAATCGATCATTTAAAAAAATTAACATATATTATAATGGATTAGGCTAGCAAAAATAATAATATTTTATGATATGGCCACGCTTATTATAATTATATAGAAAGCTAAAAAAATTAAAGTTGAGAACTTGTATAAATTCATGTTATTAGATTCTAGTATACAGATTAAAGTCGGATTTAATTATCTGTAACCAATTGTGCATAAATACTACTATTATTATTTTTTCAATTTAATATATTATAAATATTATATCAATTTTATATTTATTTATTATTAAAGTTTTCCAGATTAGAAAATTAAGAGCACTTTCACGGAGGATTTTAGATGGAGTTCTCTCACACAGAAAAAAAATAAGAAAAAATTGAATAAGTTCTCAAACAAACACCTATAAAAACCTCATAGCAAACTCCAAAACCCACGTATTTATTAGTTAATGGTCAATTATTCGCTTAATGTTTAAATTTAAATTGATAACTAATTTAAATAAAATACACATTAGTATCTTTTTGGTTGAAGGTGCTCTAAAAACTTTATATATATATTTGATTAATCAAGGGAACTAAGTTAATTTTTACATCACATTTGACTCTTTTTTTTTTTCAAATCACATTTCACTCTATAAATTAACAAATTGTAAACTTAGTAGTTACCATTATGTCAAGTTCATGCTAAACAAGTTAAAATACATTCAAATTTTATTAAACAAAATTAGGTTCATACTTATTGTTGGCAAAATAATTTTTTTTATTTTTGTTTACGAAAACTTACCATGTGATTAGATTTGTATCAATCTCCGCTGAAGACAGTGTAGTCTCCTGCGGGGTCAGCAAATGGAACTGGAATTCCAGGACGACTAAGGATTCTGATGCCTCCGATCAGCTGGTGGCCGGATCGCAGACCTGTTGGTGTAATACCGATCAGGTTTGTCGTAATCTCCAGCCGTTCGGTGACGTTCCACCCCAGCATTTATAGCAATAGCTACTCCAACAGGAGTTGCAGCCCTATGTCTATAATTAATTTGGTCGGATGCGTTGCATACGCGACCCTTTGAATCTCTTAGAACTACTTTCTCTATATTGAAAGGTAAGCACAAACTTACCTGCTTCCAGCCGGTTGGCGTCGATCGATTTGTGTAGTCTCGCGTCGCTCGATTGTTGTGTATCCTCGTCGATCGATTCTGGTTTGTATGTTTCCATCGCCTTGCCTATCGATGCGTCGCTCGATATGTTCACCATCTTGTCGATCGATGCTCGGCTGAAACTTGTGTTCCACTTCTTAAGTATCTGCGTCAGCACGGAGAGAAGAAAATTTCTTAGCAAACAAAAAGTAAAATCTCGACTATATTCTAAACTAATCTAGTGGTAATAAGAAAGAGTTCCTGGCAACGGCGCCAAATTTGATATCACTCAAATTACCCTAAGGAGTTAATTACTCTCTCAAATAAGAGGTTCAGTTGTAGTTCTTAGGGATCAGATCCACAGAGACTCTACGATTACACAATATATTAGAATAATTAAAATAAAGCTAGACTGGAAGTTGGTTTAATAGTTTAAAACAGTAAATAAATGAGGTGAGCGATTGAATTGAGGTTACTAACAAGTTGGAAAATAGCTAAATCTAGGTAAACTCTTAGGTATGATAAGTAAGCAATTTATGGTTATAAAAGGGTTTATGAATATCAATTATTCTAGAACTCAAACTTATTAAATTATAATCTATCAACTTTCGAATGCATAGATTATCTAATGCTTAGACCTAGGAATCCAACGTTCGTATGCGAGTCCTAAGGGAGTATCGATCGATGTTCCCTCTGGGTCGTCGATCGATGTCTAGTGTTGACTATCGATTGAAGTATCCTATGGGGTGTCGATCGATACTAATTCTAGCAAGCTGTAGGGAATGAGTTTGATGTGTTCTCTAACCACCTAGATCAACTTTTGTATGCACTTAGCTAATCAGATCATACTAGTCTTATACAGGAAACATGCCAAGCTCTCACTTGTACAAATCAATCTTAAGATAAAATAGATGAAGAACTAATTAAGTAACCCTGATAACAACATATATTTATCAAACCATGAATCAACCTTTGAAGAACCCTAAATCTAACAAGAAAACTACTCAGACATATTCATAAGAAACATTATGATAGTCTGAATAGTACTGCAATAGAATAATAAAGAGACAAAGTAGAGTAAAGAAATAGAAATTGGACCCTATAGCTACAAAAAAAACACAAATTAACTAAGTAGCCAAAATTCCCTTCTCTCTCTTCCAATCTCTCCCTATCTCTCTCTACTCTCTCTTAAAATCTAATTTCTTTTTTCTTTATGGCTATTTGGCAAATAAACCCGTAAAGAAAGAACAGAGTTCAAGATATTCCTTCTCTCAAGTTGTTCAGATCTCTCTCTCCAATCCAAATCTCTCTCTCCATACAAAATTAATCATAGCCGTCAACAATGGCCTAGAAAACAGTAAAATAGGTTTTCAGATCTTGCAGGGATATTATGGTAATTTGTGGTAACTCCTGGGCCAAAATCAGTCATAAAACATACTGGCCCGTGTTTTGGATTCTCCATCGATCTACACAAGTGTGTTGCATCGATCGATTCTTCTTTATCTTCTCGACAGCTTCCTCCGCGAGGCAGACTGGCAACTCTTTAGTAAAACGGGAATAACTTCTGCTACAGGATGCTGATTGACCTCAAACCGGTAGCATTGGAAAGCTAACACAAATATATATCTTGTGTTTAAAGATGGACTGCATCGAACGGTGGGAACGTACCACCTGTAACTAAAAAATCTGATACGTCTATGTAGTTCTGCACACAAAGGGCTCCAAAAGACACCACAATCACCATATTTCTCAAGAACGTACCTGAACCTGTAAATACTCTAAAAGGACTCCAAAACATAATAATAATATCTTAAAACACTTATATACCATGCTGAAAGTGGGTAAAATCCATGGTATATCAACTCCCCCACACTTATCCTTTTGCTTGTCCTCAAGCAAAACAAACATGCAGTCTCTTTGAAAGAGGTTTGAAATCGCAGGGACTCACAAAATCTTTAACTTACTACTATCACCTCTACTATGTTGCAACCACATCAAATAAGTGCTAACCTCAGAGATACTTTATACACCACATCCTAGCTTAGCAACCAAATCCAATCTACCAGAAACTTAGGAAATACTAGCTTGACTTTCCCCTCTACTAACCTCATTTCTTACATAAAATAAAGTGCAAACTTTACCTTGGGAGTATCGATCAAAGGATCCTTGGACTCTTACTCCAGCAGGTACCTGAGTAAACAGATAGTCATATTCTGTTTTTTTTTCTCCCTATATCCCTCTTCTCTGAATCTTTTTCTAGAACTCAAACTCAATGGACGAAGATGCTACTACAATCCATCTTGCCATATTGTTTTTGATTTTCAAATTTTTTTTCTTTTTTTTTTTGAAAAAGTAGGCGAAAAATAGAGTCATCGGTAATGTACCTACCCCTCGCTTCCACAATGTGTGATCTTTCCTTTCAATTAGAATAGTGGGGTCATTGGTAATGTACCTACCCCTCTGCATCTCAGGAAAACATTTCAATCTTTTCTTTTATAGATGCTGAAGAGAGGAGAGAAATAAACCAAAAGTTTACAGACTTATACCTTTCAGACCTGAAGGCGCAATCCGATCCAATGTATACCAAACCCAAAAGCAAGCAAATTAGTCAGATTAGGGTTGGAGGTCAGCTTCGGTTCCTTCAAACTTCCTATGCAAGAGTGATCTAATGGCAGGCTGATCCACTTTAGTATCTCTAGTATACTCTGCTGTCAAAAAAATCTAAGAATGGTGCTACAGTGTGGTTAGATAATAAGAAAAAATTTAAAACAATCATAATCCCCTTCTTGAGCTCAATAAAATTAGTTTTTGAAAACAATATTTAATAATACTCACAGTAATCAAATATTAGTAACATACCCCTAGACATAAATTACACTATCCCAGTGTAAAACATTCGGAGTGATGTTGAAGAACTAAATCAAAAGGACTCAATAACAAGTAAGAATGATAAACCTGACCGGAAACAATATCGATCGATGTATAAGTGGATGCATCGATTGTTGCAGGTGATGTTGTGTCGATCGATATCAACATGTTCTCATCAGTCAATAAGACGGTAATCTATCTCTTTGGTTGTTAGACATACAACTCAAAATAAAACATAATATTAGTAGAACCTCCCCAAGACTTAAACAACACTATCACTAGTGTTATACAGTCCAAGATCGGTAGGAGAATAAATCATAAGTACTAAATGAACAAGGAAAAACCGGTAAACTTTCTCGTTGATGGTGAGCGTCGATCAACACAGTTAAGTGGTGATCGATCGATATTCGTGATGCTCTGTCGATTGATACGCTGGCCAATCGTCGATCGATGCTTCTGCAGAAATCGTCGTCCTCGAGTCGAACATAAAAAAGTAAATAAAAAATAAGAAAAACACAAAATAGAAATTAATAAAAAAGTAAATTAATATTTCTTTTCAATGAACAATATCCTGCTACAGTAACATTGCTACAATATAGGTCGATGGGAATGCTACAGTGTTGATCGATGGAACTGCTACAATAATTCACTATTCTTTTTTTTTCCTTTTTTTTTGAATTCAATGAAAAACGAAAATGAAAATAAAACAAAATTTCAAACAATCCTAACAATGGGGTGCCTCTCACTCAGCACTTATTTCTAGTAAGCTTGACTGTGATACCTTATCAATCAGTAGACGACATTCTCAGGCTTTTAATTTGCTTATCCGGTATCTTTTCTTTTTCCCAATAATGCTTTACTCTTTGTCCATTTACTGTGAACTCTTCTCCCTCAGCGTTGATTAGTATATGGTTACATAGGGTCTGACTTCTTTAACAGTAAAGGGACCACACCAGCGTGAACGCAATTTCCCATGAAATATTGTTAAACGTGAATTGTACAAAAGCACCTGGTCATTTGGTTCAAAATGTCTAGAAATGATCTTCTTATCGTGATAAGCTTTTGTTTTTTCCTTGCATAGCTTTGAGTTCTCATAAGCGCGATGTCTGATTTCATCTAACTCATTCAGCTGAACCAACCTCCTCTCCCTAGCATGCTTGATGTCAAAATTCATCATTTTTACGGCTCATGCTGCCTTGTGTTCTAGCTCCACCGGAAGATGGCATGCTTTCCCATAAAGTAACGGTGTAGTTCCGAGTGATGTTTTAAATGCGGTTCTATGGGCCCAAAGTGAATCATCCAATTTTGTAGACCAATTCTTTCGTGTTTTTCCAACTGTCTTTTCCTGTATTTCCTTGATTTGACGGTTGGAAACTTCTACTTGTCCGTTGGTCTGAGGATGATAAGGCGTAGCTACTCGATGGTAGAATCCATGCTTCAAAAGAAATTTCTCAAATACTTTGTTGATGAAATGGGAGCCTCCATCGCTTATTACTACTCTAGAAACTCGAAATCTAGGAAAAATGATACTTTTGAAAACTTTCACGACTACGGCAGCATCGTTTGTTTGGGACGCTGTTGCTTCTACCTACTTAGATACATAGTCGACAGAAACTAAGATGTACTTTTTACCGTACGAAGAAGGAAAAGGGCCCATACAGTTGTGCCCCAACAATCAAAGACTTCCACTTTTTACACTAAGCAATAGTACCAGTAGTCCGGCCTATATGACCTAAGACACTTAGTACTAACACCTAAACAAGTAAATAACAATACTTAATAAATA